AGTGCTCCTTTCCAGCTGATTGGTACTTCTTCAGGGCTCAGCAGAGCTCCAGCTGGAGCCTGGTGCTGATCCTGGCGCTTCCGCTGAGCCCTGACAGCCCTGAAGAAGCACCAATCAGGCTTGTGCGGTGCTGCCACCGGTTCAGCTCATTCCCCTCCCCCGCTACCACTTTTCTAGGATGGTTGTATACCACCTGCCAGGTGCCAATGTACCACAGGTGGTACCCGTGCCACTAGTTGAAAAGCCCTGCTATAGAGAACTGTATGCCTTTCCAAATCATGTATGATCAATTTAATTTACCACAGGTCAACTCCAATCAAGATGTAGAAAAATGTCAGCAGTGATCAAGAGAAATGGGAGGTATCTGAGCTAAATTTGAAATATTGTTGCAAAAGGTCTGAATATTTATGCCAATGTGATATTTAAGTTTTTTCTTTTTAATAAATTTACAGACATTTCTAAAATTTTGCTTTCCCTTTTCATTATGCGGTTCTGAGAAAAAAAAAATGAATTTCCACAACTGTAGAATTAGGCTGCAGCATAACAAAATTGACAAAAGTGAAGAGGGTCTGAATACTTTCTGAATGCCCTGTATATTTGCCGACTTCGGCCACCTGCTTGGTGTATCACTTTGATTAGAATCAATGGAAATGGGATTTTTAATCCCTGCACAGAAAAAAAAAGAAGGTTGATTTTAAACCAGGAGTTAGGCTCAAAGTTAAGCATCCATCTATATATACATTCGTTCCAATCTGTATCTGGGCTACCATTGCTGTTTTATCGTAATAATCAAAACAAAGAAGTGGGACAACATATGAGATGTTGCACATGTCTCCTAGTTAGGCCTCATAGTTCCAATAAAAATAAAATAAATTAGCTTAAATGGACTGGAAATCTGCTTACTCAAATTTCAATTTTGTGATGGATATTATAAAATTCTCAAAGTACAAAATTTAAGGCACAAGTTAGCAAAACTCATCTTTCTTCATTAGATGACTTTCCGAGGTATGAACAACCTGTTTTTCTTCCAGCTAGTTATTAGAAAACAATTTGCAACATTAAATGACTTTCTGAGGTATGAACAACCTGTTTTTCTTCCAGCTAGTTATTAGAAAACAATTTGCAACATTAAGAAGCATTGCCCACCTTTGTTCCTTCATTTGATAAGCCTGAACTGGACTGTAACCCTGAAAGGTGTTTCCACTCCCCTCTCCCATTTGATCTGTATGCTGTCCTCAAAAAGTACTGGCAGAGCACAGCAATAAAATTATATGCTACCAGTAGGAGGAAATCAGAACAGGGCAAAGCTGAATGTCTTAAAGCTCATATCTTAACTTGTCTTTACATATTTTAGCTGAAGCAAAACCAGTGACCCAATTGAAGAAAAACTGAGAAGAAAAACAGATGCTTCCCCAATCTGACTGCCATATATTCCAACAGCAGAAAGGAAAATCTCCCTTCCATCACACATATGATTTCTGTGTAAATTTTACTGAAAAGAGTAGAATAAAACAAAATATTCTTAAATATTTTAGGGGAAATATCAAGACTAACATTTCTAGATTGTCTCTGATTACAGCCATGAGGGGGCAGTCAAAGGCATAACAGTGCTTTATAATTGAAATCCTTCTATCTGTTTTACAAAATCTGGTCTAGAAAATCATGCAGTTCTATCTGAAGTAATTAATGCCTTAGTTGTTCGTTTTTAGCAAACCCACTGTTTTTCCACATTTGTTGTTAGACTGGAATTAGCCTTCAATTGTATTTCAGGTAAACCTCAGGTAGGTTTTATGATGCTGTTAAGTTCAGCATATGCCATTTTACTCTATTGCTTAATGATACTTAGCTTTTCATTTCATTCACCATTCCATATCATTTTCAATATCCTCTTTTACATTCCCATTTATTTATTAAATAAACAACAAATAGTTGTCATAGGTACGCACCATTATTTTGGCATTTTCTTCTGTGATGTTGGTATTATAATTCCATGAAGCGATGGATGCATTATAATACAGATCATCTGCACGGGCATCAAATTGCTTTAAAAACTCTGCAGCCTGCTGGGTCACATTTTGGGCCACAGCCAGAACAACAAGGCTACAAGTAAGGCAGAGCCAGGATAACATATTTCCTTTTAAGTCAAAAAATGTTGGATGGGTGAAGCTCCTTGAAGAAGGCTTCCTGATCAGTGCTTGTTTCATTAGTGTTTATCCAGTGCTTGGCTATAGAAAAAGAGGAAGAAACCTATTCACAGGGCATTTTATAGTTTTAATCCAGCAAAGGGACAGAATCTAGAAGGGGGGGAGTTAAAGCCAAGTAAGCAAAAGTGAATAATTAACTTCTGGAGAAAGATAATTATCTGTAAGCATTTTATGGTTTTCTTTTGAAAGCCTTTTACATAAAGTTAATATTTCCCCAGCATCCTGTCAATGATAGAGCTAGTTATCATCTTTTCTGTCACATTTTCTGAGATGAGAACTTGGTGGTTTTAAAAACCTCCTTAGACAATATGATACAACTAGAAGGCCTGATTCCATTCTGATTAGCTGCATCAAATGAATATGTGAACTTCAGCATTCCTCACCTTAGAAGAGTCAGCCGAGTGACTTTCCTCCAACTTTTTTTTCTCAGCTTTTTCTGTGTTTTCCTTTAATAGTTCCACTTCTGGACACAGTCCCTTGGACCTCCTCAGACCCATACCTCCTTTATGAGGTCACTTTTCTGCTTTCCTTTATGAGGAAAATGAGCTGAGCTAACATTTGGCCCTGCCTGTAAGTGGTGTAGCTAATCACTGTCTATGCATCATTACTATGATTGCAAAAAACCCTTGGGTTAGTACCTTATAGATATATAATTGCTGTTTTTGCCCAGAAAAAGTTGCTGGCTGAACCCAACTCACCTTTGCCTTCAGCCTTCATGGCCTTCTGCAAGCTGATAATAATCTTCCTTTTCTGGAAGGCATTTCATCTATGCATTGTTGCCTTTCTAAATGTGATTTTTTTTTACTATCTATCTTACAGAATAAATGTTATTTTGTCCGTGTGTGTGTGTGTGTGTGTGTGTGTGTGTGTGTGTGTGTGTTTTAAGTGTTTTTTATGAAGCACCCAGTCAGCCCAAATATGAGAAGAAGAAACCTTTTGCCCGTATCAGCCCCAATCTAGGGCTATCCAAAGGCAACAGTCGCTACTGCGACAATCATTTTTGTGTTAAATTTGGGTTGCTAATATGCAAGCAGCCCATGTTTGAATCTCAGAAGGGTGAAGCTGGCTGATGAGAGCTAAGGAGCTTGAAATAGCTATACCAGCTTCCCTTTAACTTTTTGTTAGCAAGCCAAATTTAACACACACACACAAACACACACACACATAATTTGTAAAGACTAATTTACATTAGCTGTTGATTGTTGGCCATTGTAAACTCTTCAGAAAAGAAGAAATACTATTTTAAATGAAATGATTTTCTGATCACGACAGACAGCAATCTTCATTGTATAGTCATCTCTCCGCTGCAGTAACTCCAGTTTCCATTAGTGCCCAATTTATGTCATAAGTAACTTCTAAATTGGCCTATTTCAGGATAGAAAGCAAAAGGCTCTGCCTTCTTAGTAGTGGAATAATTTGTAATATGAAAAAAACAGAAGTCTCTTTCATGTGGGAATTAAAAATATTAGTAAGCTAGAGGTTAAATTTTGGCACAAATGTACCATTTACAGTTATATCCAGTTGTTTTGCCCAGCATAATACAGCATATTAACAAGAATAAACAAATAAAAAATAAAATTAGAACATTAAAATTTAAAGAAGAAAAGTGAAATAATTGAAAATGGTATTGGTACCAGAGGCAGCTTTCTCCAGCTTGGTACCCTTGAAACTGGACTACAATTCCCAGAATTCCATAAAAGCATCATTCTGATTCTGATGATATTGAGACTTGTTAGGATTTGGTTCATTGGTGTTGACTATGACGTTATCTGACTTCAGAATAACAAAAGTTAGTGGCTGGGAATTCTGGGAATTATGTCAAAATATAGAATGTAAAATGCAACAATTTTGGGAAGCTGTTAACATAACTTGTATAGTATATTGCAGATTTTATAATTCAGAAATGTTAATTGTTGTATACTTCGTTCACGTGCGATGCTGAACAAACACTTTATTCTCCTTCTACAACAACCAAGCAAAAGCAAAAGGCACGCAAGCCTTTTTATATGGCCAACCAATAAGAACAGAGCATTTTCGTGCCTTGCACATGCGCACAAGGCCGGCACCTCTCTGTCTGGTCCCGGGCATCTTTTGGAATGCCCGGGACCAATGCAACGTTCCGAGCCTGCTTTTGCAGAATCAGGACATAACATTAATGATGTAAGTAAACTGAGAAGATTAGAGTATGATCTCTGCTGCCATAACTCCCTGAAAATATCTAATTTAATTAACAGACTAGCAAACAACCGAATACTATAGTGTTGTTAGTTTTGGAAAGATTTTTTTTTTTTGCACTATCCTTAGCATTAAAAGAGTTGTTACTAATTCATAACAGATTCTGACCTCTTCCCTACTTATTTCATAGTTTTTGAACTTTAAGAGATTTAGATTCTTAATTCTGTTATAATCCACTGTTCAAAAATCCAAAATATATTATATTCTCCACTCAATATTGAACTTTGATGCATGTCCTATTATTCTATCTATATTCTATCTATTCTATATTCTACTTATCATCCAGCTGGTACCCCTGATAAAATATGCCAAAATAAACACACTTATTATATCACTGCAGGAGAAAAACCTTAATTATTGAAGCATTATAAAACTTTCCACAGTAGGTTTGTACAAAGATCCTAGTGGGAGAATACATTTTATAATAACATCTATAATAGTCTAGCCATACAGATATCCAAGAAGACTTTGTAAATACAACCTTAAGTATACCATTTGTTATTTTTTATCAGTTTTAATAATTATATTTTGTTGTTGCTTTGGTGCCCATTGAAGTGAATGGTAGCAGTAGTTGGCTTGTATGTTAGACTAAAGCAGCTCACATTTTTCCTGCCATGAAATAATAGAAAAGGTGAAGATATGAATAAATCATGATAAGGATTTATTGGTACCCTTGCATCACTGATTCATCCAAAGAACGTTTAACAGTGGAAGTTTTATTAAACATTTATATGTTTTCATAAAGAACACTGCCTTGAATGATAAATTCCGGTGTATCCCATATGATTATGCTTATCAAAAGAAATGCTTCCAAGGGCAAAAATGAGGCAAAGTACATAATTTTCTTGTTTATAATCAGCAGTAAGAACCAGATAAAAGGAGGGCAGAGTTTCAAAAAGAGACTGAGAAACAGCATCCATTTATGTTCATATGGGCGTAAACCAATCGTCATCTGCTGCTGCATAGAAACCATTAATTTGTCCAGCTTTTAAATCTAAAGTATGACAGGGAATTCTGTTTTCCATTGTTATGGCTGCTTCATATTTATCATCTAAATTGTCTGTTTCTTCAGCATTCTTATGTCTGGAAAAGAGAGAGAATAAAATTGCTGCTGTCAGTAAAATATGAAAAGCATACATCATTTCAGCCTTAACTTTGCAGATAAATTACTCTTCTAGAAATATTACAATACAGTACAGTTTTGGTATAGTGGTTAAAGGGCTCAGGCTAGAAACTGTGAAATTGTGAGTTCAAGTAATTCCTTAGGCACAAAGTCAGCTCTTGGGCCAGTCATTCTCTTTCAGCTCTAGGGAAGACGCAATGGCAAATCACTTTGAAAAAATGTTTCCCAAAAAACTGCACAGCTGTGTCCACCGACTGCCTGGAATCAATACCAATCTGAAAGCACCAGAAATACCTCCACTAAATATTCATAATTTAAACAAATTTCAATTAACAAGTCCTATCTCAGAAATATTAAACATTTTGTGCCCCCACCCAAGCCTGTCTCTTTCAAGATGCCTCCATTTATTTGAGGAACATTTGAGACTGAGGAGAAAATACACTTTCCTTGTTCCAATACTATTACTATTATAAGATTCAATAATTTAATTATTTAGAACACACATGTTAACTCTTATATTTATTGTAATAAACTCACCTGGGGCTAAACTAGAGGAGTCTCCTTTGGTCTGCCCTGGGATTCTGCCTTAGGAAAAGATTTAGAGCTCCATAGACAACAACCCAAGAGACAGCTCTACACATGGACATCACCAGACGGTCAACATAGAAATCAGATTGACTATGTACTCTGCAGCCAAAGATGGAGAAGCTCTATACAGTCAGTAAAAACAAGACCAGGAGCTGACTGTGGCTCAGATCATGAGCTTTTCGTTGCAAAATTTAGGCTTAAATTGAAAAAAGTAGGGAAAAGCACTAGGCCACTCAGGTATGAACTAAATCAGTGGTTCTTAACCTTTTTGACCAAATCGCCCCCTTGAGCCAGTGAGGAAGTTGTCATCGCCCCCCTCCCCCAACATAACCTCTCAATCACAACATAGGAAATAATTCTTCAATTTATGCAAACACTTTTTTTTGTTTTCTTCAAAATTGTCATCAGGACATATCGATACAAATACTTTATTTCCAGTCTTTTCCCCATATCTCAACTGTGTGAAAAATTTTGGTGCCACTCGGCACTTTATTCCAAACTTCGTGATACATGTATTTCATTATTATCTTATGTATTCAAGACACTTAAATGTAATGACCACTAAAAACAAAATTCAATTGCAAGAAAGTGATATGTCCGAAAAGAAAAACAGTAACATTTAATGATTGAATTACAAGTGAAATTTAAGATGCAGAAAGAAATATAAAAAGGGCATAAGAACAAACCGCAATGCAGGAACTAAGAATTTCAAGATGAAAACTCTGAAACTAAATTAAGATTTGAGGAAAGTATATATAGTCACACACACTGTAAAAAGGATTAAAAAGACAGAAAGAAAATATAATATCAAACTGGAGTGCATGCTAAAAAAGTACAATACAAAGAGACACACAAAATGTTTTACAGAGCACAACAAAAATTAGAAAACGAAGCTGAAAACTCAAACTGTGACATCAACATTACAGCTGATGTCACAGGGGACAGCCACTCAGCACGTGATGTTTCAAAAGAAGCGCTCCCCCCTCCATCACTGCCCATTCTGGCCAATGGCGCGCCACTGTATGGGTAGAGGCTGCTGCACAATGCGTATGAATATAAGTGATGCGTATTCACATATGTACTGAAGCTAGCTGGAGGAACATTTGAAAACACAATTCAATCCACTAATAGCGAGCGATCTGATGTTTTTGTACAACAGATATACAGCAATTCACTGTACAAAAAGGTCCCAAAACTTCTTGCTCCATCGCCCCCATATTGCCCCCTTTTCATTCCTTCGCCCCCCCATCGCCCCTTTTTGTTCCATCGCTCCCCTGAAAAATGAAATCGCCCCCTGGGGGGCAATATCGCCTAGGTTAAGAACCACTGAACTAAATCATATTCTTGATGAATATACAGTAGAGGTGACAAATAGATTTAAGGAATTAACTCTGATAGACAGAGTGCCTGAAGAACTATGGATGGAAGTTCACAACATTGTACAAGAGGTAGCAACTAAAACCATCCCAAAGAAAAAGAAATGCAAGAAAGCAAAATGGCTGTCTGAGGAAGCTTTGCAAATAGCTGAGGAAAGAAGGGAAATGAAAGGCAAAGGAGAAAGAGAAAGATAAACCCAATTGAATGCAAAATTCCAGAGAATAGCTAGAAGAGATAAGAATGCTTTCTTAAATGAACAATGCAAAGAAATAGAAGAAAACAACAGAATAGGGAGGACCAGAGATCTCTTCAAGAAAATTGGAGATATGAAGGGAACGTTTCATGCAAAGATGGGCATGATAAAGGACCAAAATGGCAGGGACCTAACAGAGGCAGAAGAGATTAAGAAGAGATGGCAAAACTACACAGAAGAACTATACAAGAATGAGCTTAATGTCCCAGATAACCACAATGAGATGGTCACTGACCTCGAACCAGACATCCTAGAATGTGAAGTGAAATGGGCCTTAGAAAATCTGAGCAACAACAAAGCTAGTGGAGGTGACAGTATTCCAGCTGAGCTATTCAAAATCTTAAAAGACGATGCAGTAAAAGTGCTACACTCAATTTGCCAGCAAATTTGGAAAACTCAACAGTGGCCACAGGATTGGAAAAGGTCAGTTTACATTCCAATTCCAAAGAAAGGCAATGCCAAAGAATATTCAAACTATCGCACCATTGCACTCATTTCACATGCTAGTAAAGTTATGCTTAAAATCCTACAAGCTAGACTCCAGCAGTATGTGGATCAAGAACTACCAGAAGTACAGGAAGGATTTCGAAGAGACAGAGGAACTAGAGATCAAATTGCCAACATACGCTGGATCATGGAGAAAGCTAGGGAGTTCCAGAAAAACATCTACTTCTGCTTCATTGACTATGCAAAAGCCTTTGATTGTGTGGATCACAACAAATTGTGGCAAGTTCTTAAAGAGATGGGAGTACCAGACCATCTCATTTGTCTCTTGAGAAACCTATATGCGGGTCAAGAAGCAACAGTGAGAACTGGACACGGAACCACTGATTGGTTCAAAATTGGAAAAGGAGTCCGGCAAGGCTGTATACTGTCGCCTGCCTATTTAACTTATATGCAGAGCACATCATGAGAAAGGCAGGGCTAGATGAATCAAAAGTTGGAATTAAGATTGCCGGGAGAAATATCAACAACCTAAGATATGCAAATGATACCACTCTAATGGCAGAAAGTGAAGAGGAACTAAAGAGCCTCTTGATGCGGGTGAAGAAGGAGAGTGCAAAAGTTGGCTTGAAACTCAACATTAAGAAAACCAAAATCATGGCATCCGGCCCTCTCAATTCCTGGCAAATAGATGGGGAAGAAATGGAGGTAGTGACAGATTTTATTTTTCTGGGCTCAAAGATCACCTCAGATGGGGACTGCAGCCAAGAAATTAAAAGACGCTTGCTCCTTGGGAGGAAAGCTATGGCAAATCTAGACAGCATTCTAAAAAGCAGAGACATCACCCTGCCAACAAAAGTGCGTATAGTCCAGGCCATGGTTTTCCCAGTTGCAATGTATGGCTGTGAAAGTTGGACCATAAGAAAGGCTGAGCGCCAAAGAATTGAGGCCTTTGAACTATGGTGCTGGAGAAGACTCCTGCGAGTCCCTTGGACTGCAAGGCGTTCAAACCGGTCAGTCCTAGAAGAGATCAACCCTGACTGCTCTTTAGAAGGCCAGATCTTGAAGTTGAAACTCAAAATACTTTGGCCACCTAATGAGAAGGAAGGACTCACTGGAGAAGGGCCTAATGCTGGGAAAGATTGAGGGCAATAGAAGAAGGGGACGACAGAGAATGAGATGGCTGGATGGAGTCACTGAAGCAGTAGGTGTGAAGTTAAATGGACTCCAGAAGATGGTAGAGGACAGGAAGACCTGGAGGAACGTTGTCCATGGGATCGCAATGGGTCGGACACGACTTCGCAATTAACAACAACAACAACAATCCTCAGACAATGGGCAGGTTGGCTGGCTAAACTCTCACTATCCATGTAAAATGCCCAAATCCCTCATCCTCCTGCTAACTTTACAAGAGACCCCAAACCACTACCTGACAAACATAAACTGCCTGACAAACCTGGCTAACTTAGGGAAAACTGCATTGGACACAAATGGCAACACATTTTTACACTACATAGCTATATAAAGGAATCAGATTAGTTTAGCTAATCTTAACTAAATGGTGCCTCCATTTAGTATCTCTTTGAATATCAGAAAATTGGGGGGAAAGTGTCAGAAAATAGCTGTTACTTTCATAATCTGTCTGGAAATGTTTCATGTAATCAGATTATCACTAAGATCAAAACCTTGGGTAAGTCCAACAGGGCACCTTCTGCATTTAAGTGGCTGAGAATGTACCATTTTTATTTTTTCCAATACAATTCAATATAATTCCAATGTTTGCAACTATTAGATACTTCTTCCTAAAATACAGTTATGTTAGTGAATCTAATCGGAAGGAGCAAATTAACAATTTCTACTCTATTTCAGTTTTTGACCTTGAGCACCACTGATTCATTGACAGACCATCCCATATGATTTATGATACAACATCAGCAATTTACAAGAGATAATGAACTCAAAGGTCAAGTACAACACATTTTCAACCCATAATACATAATGTAACAATCTCAGGATTTACATATCAGTAATATTAGCAGCCATAAAAGTATATTGTAAATATCCTGCAAACCCTTGAATAAAGACATTTGCTAAAAGTAAATTACCTTTATTGCAAGATAGGTTTTATAGAGTCTCACTGCTGGAAGCCTTTCTTGCATGTCTCTCAAATGGATGGAAAGCCACACACTCATATATTATTTCCTGATCCACTATAATTAACAGTCTGAATAAATTCCTGTGTTTGTTTCTTTGTTTACTTATTTATGCAATTTCTATAACCACCCATCGCAGTCAATGATTCTGGGCGGTTTACAGCTAAAAAATACATTACGGTTAAAAATACTAAAAACATCTTAAAACACTAAAACACCCAGCTCAATTAAACACAGGAGCAAAGTACTTGGCCAGTTAGCAACACAACCGGGAATCAGGCCCTTGACACATTCAGCATCCTAGGAACAGAGCCAGGTTTTTTAAGGGCCTTACAAAAGGCTAACAGGCTTGGTGGCATTCTAACTTCTGAAGGGAGGATGTTCCATAGAGCAGGGGACACTGCTGAAAAAATCCATCTTCTGATCACTGGCAGCCAACACTCTTTGATGGCATCTGCAGCATGCCCATTTTGCTCAATCTGGCTGGACTGGTAGAGACTCTTGGAAAAAGTCAATCCCTCAGGTTACCAATTTCAGTAGTCAGTTATCTAACACAGTAAATAATGTATTTCTGATATGCCCCAATGTCACAAAAACAAAGGTGCCTCTTGAGGGAGAGGTTGCAACAAATAGCTCCATTACATGATAGACAACAATTATGCATCCCAACTCTTTTAGCCTTCCAGAAGGTTGTGGAGACCTGACTGTTATCCTAAGTTTGGGTTTGATGGGACTGTTGATCTAGGAGGCTATTTGGTCTGGCACCTAGTGGAAAGGGTAGTTTGTAATGATTATTGTGAGCTGCCTAAGTCATTATATGAGATATTCAGTAAATAAATAAATATGTAAATAAATGTATTGTGAGTGCCCATTCTCTAATGTAGCATCTACTCATTTACCTTCAGAACATCTGAGTAAAGAGGCTTCACTATATGCTCAGAGTTGCCTGAACCATGAGACAGGTGGCAAATAAATCTGATGAATAAATAAATAAGAATGATTTATATGCATTGCTTCTCCTGACCCCTTCATGCATACCAGCAGTGTTGCTGCGTGTGTTTCCCTTTCTCCCATTCCGCCTGGCTTCTGATTAGACGTTTGTGTTTCCCCATAATGATACTACAAGCACCACCTTTCTCTCTTACTTATACGCTTGCCTTCCCTTGATGCCTACTTGGAGCAAAAGATGATAATATACCATGGATCAGTTATCATTTACATAGAGAACAAGCATCTATTAGCCCAGCCCTTCATTTATTAAACAATGAAAAAAAAAACAGGAAGCAATAAGCAAAAATATTATTCAATTCTATTTGTGATTGTGGACTGACTGAAAGCAAGACAATTCAAAATACTCACCTCTTGCAGTGATAAATCCCAGAAGATACGACTAAAATAATTCCAATCACAATGATGCCAAGAATAACCTCAAATACAAATAGCCAAGTGGGCAGAGGTTATTCAGCTGGTGGAGCTAAAGTTGATGAGACTTCCAAGAACTGCAGAGTCTTGTCAGTTAATAAAAAGGCATTGTTGATCTGGTTTCTATTCATTCTTTAAAAAGAATTAGTTTGGCATGTTTATAATCAATCAAATCAAATGTGGTCAGGAAAAATAACAACTTGTTATGTTCAGCATGTAAAATGGCTGAGGAAGAAAATGATTTAACACCAGTTATCATTAATTTCATTTCCAAATTTCATTATCATTATAAATGTTGTGTAATATTGCCTTAATGTTGGTCCCAAAACATAAACTGATGTAATAGATAACTGTAAGTGTTCTGGCAGAAATTATTAATTTCCATATTAAAATTAATATTCTATTTTTTCTGGCTATCAGTTATTTTTTTCTGGGGTCAGTTCAAATTGCTGGTTCTGAGTTTAAATCTTGAAAGGTCAGAATATTTTTCCAGCCATAAAGAAACTACTCTACATTCATTCCACTGTTTTAGATCTCATAAACATTTAAAATCAGAAAGGCAGGAGTTCAAAAAGAGTTTTTCATTTATGGCATCAGGATTTGAACTACTTTAATAAGACAAATATTCATAAAATCCTGCTTTAAAATAAAATATTTAAGAGTGATTTTGTAGGATTGTGCTTAAGAGCCGTGGGAGCGCAGTGGTTAGAATGCAGTATTGCGGCCTAATTCTGCTGACTGCCATGGGTTTGATTCTGACTGGCTCAAAGTTGACTCAGCCTTCCATTCTTCCAAGGTCGGTAAAATAAGGACCAAGATTATTGGGGGCAATATGCTGACTCTGTAAACCGCTTAGAGAGGGCTGTAAAGCACTATGAAGCAGTATATAACTAAGTGCTATTGCTATTTTGTGCTATTAATTGCACAAAAATGGAGAAAAATATGTAATTTTGGAAGGAAAGTCAATTTTTAGAGTTTGTAAAAAAGGAAATGATGCCTTCTGCCGTTGTATATATTCCTGTAATTTAGTAAAAAAAAAATTGAACTTGGAAAGAAGTTAGAAATTTCAGCATGGCAGTAATCTCACACATACTTCCAAATTAATCATAAATATTTACAGAACAGAAAGATAAAGGTTTTGAAAAGGCTTCATAATTTCCAGACTTTAAAATTATTGATAATCTGTGGGAGCTTCTCAAATGTGTACAAGGAGATCTAAAAATATTTCCAGTCCAGAAAAGTTCTACAAGAAATGGTGGAGGGAGAATTCAAAAGCAAAAATAGAAGGTCTAAGTGTAGCTAGCTATAGTAAACATTCGAAAGCTGTTACTTCTGCCAAGAAAAGTGTTAGAGAATATTGATTGAAACTTTTGCACCTGTTTTGTTCACTGTTTTCTTATTCTGTTTTTGTAAGCAACTGCCAATATTACATATACATTCAATTTTAATATGAAAAATTTGAATGCATATTTAATATTTATTGGCAGTTGCTTTAAATTTATACCAGGTAGAATTTGTATCAGTTTCTATTTACATAGGAATTCCCTAAAGCATAAAATATGACAAAGAGTGCCTAAAAGTTTGCAAACAATTGTATTTTGCATTCATTACCAATCTGGAATAAAAGCAATTCCCCTCATTAATTCTTTATAAATTAGTTATTTCCAATGTATAAATTTGCATACACAGTATCCTGTCTTTTCCAGGAAAGAATTTAGATTTTAGGAATAGTGCAATGGAGCATAGTATTGGAATATTATGTCACACATTAACTATGCTCAAAAAATTTCATATCTAACTTTCCAGTACAACAGATCTAATAGAAAATTAAGTTGCCTACTTTAATATTAGCTAATTTTATTTATAGAGCCTTCCGTTAAGCACAATTGCTCACTCAGAACTTCTGAATCTTGTATTCTATTCACAATTGTAACGTTTCATGGGTTTCAGCCTTAAGGCTGTATACAAATTAGTTTCACACAATGTATTTTTCCTACAATGAATTGAAATGACAAATACACCTGCTTTAGATACAGCAGTCATAAACTCCCACACCAAGCACTGCAACTGTTCCTGTAGTTCAGCTGAGTTGTGGCAGAAAGAAGTCTCTATACTAGATTAACAGAGCAATATGCTAATTATGTAAGATCTTATTGTTTAATTTTTTATGATGGAGATGGGATAATAAGCTTTGATTTCAGAATTTTTTCTGGATCAAGATGAGCCAAATTGGAGGAAGGTATATTTTGGAATTTTATTAATTTCACTTTCCTTTCTCTCCATAACTGAAACACTGCTTTTAATAAGTTATTATTCACTTCATAGGTACAGGTAGTCCTCGACTTACAAAAGTTCATTTAGTGACCATTCAAAGTTACAACAGCACTGAAAAAAGTGACTTATGACTGTTTTTCACACTTAAGACAGTTGTAGCATATCTGTGGTCATGTGATCAAAATTCAGATGCTTGGCAACTGGCTCATATTTATGATGGTGGCAGTGTCCTGGGGTGATGTGATTCCCTTTTGTGACTTCCGAAAAGCAAAGTCAATGGGGAAGCCAGACTCACCTGACAACTGTGTTACTAACTTAACAGCTGCAATGATTCATTTAACAACTATGCCAAGAAAGGTCCTAAAATGGTGCAAAATTCACTTAACAACTGTCTCACTTAGCAACAGAAATTTTGGACTCAGTTATGGTCATAAGTCGAGGACTATCTGTATACAGTTTTAAGTGCAGTAATAGGTATTTCAATAGAAGTGATGGACAAAAGTTAAATCCAGGCTGTTAGAACAGTGTGCCACTGATGCTGAAAGAGATTTGTATTAAATCTGCTTACATAGAATGAATGCTTCAAACCACAGCCAAAAAAGTAAAACTGCATTCCATTATTCTTACCATGGACCAACAGGTCACTAATCTCTTCCCCCATCCCAGTGCACTACAATTGCTTCTGAATTTTTCTGTTGAAAACAGTTTAATCTTCTCATAAGCTTAAAAGTTAATCTTTCCCAAACAATACATTCTCTTTCATTCCCACATTCATGTTTATTAAAAAAAAAATAGCACTGTATTTCTAAAAGATAAGCTTTCTGTAAAAAACTAAATTCAACATGTTAAAACATGTAAAATTATAGTGATTTTCTTGTAAAGAAAACCACCAGTACATTGTTGCATCGTCTTTGAGTTTATCTGGACTCAGAAGTTAAGTAGTGCTAGGCTGGGTTAAAATGGGGATTGGTGGGAGGCCTCCAATAAATATTGGATATTTGAAATAGATAGAAGCCTCCAAATATCCCAAAGGAAGGCAATGACAAGCTGCTTTTGTTTTGTGGCCAAGAAGATAGCAGGGGCACATCTGCAAAATCATATCCAGCTCATCCTGAAGGAGATTTTATTTTTTAAGGAGTGTGACCATTAATAGACTGCCTATATAAAGTTCATGGTATATACTGTAATAATAGACTATTTTCCTTCCTCCAACAGAAAAAATCCAAAACATGATTCTTTAAACATGAGGTGTGATCAAAGGATATGCATATAATCAGGGAGCGGTTTGGCAGTACAGGTAATTCTTGATTTATGACCACAACTGGGAATGGAACTTCTGTTGCTAAGTTATGTAGTTGTTAAATAAGTTGACTACTTTTGTTATATACTGTCACAATATATGCCAAGCACCCGAATTTTGATCACATGATCCCAGGGATGCAGGACTGGTTATAAATCACTAGCACTATTATAATATTCTGTAGTTATTAAATTAATGGTTTTATGTTAAGGACTATCCATAGTAGGTTTGGTTTTTTTATTTACCTTAAAGTGAGTAAAATATGGATGCCTTAAAATAAAAACCTATGAAATAAATGCTTCCAGATGGAGGATAATACCGCCTAACTGCTGCTAATCAAAAATGGTCCTCTACTCTGCCTTTTTCTCTTTACTGCATTTTTCAATAAAATGATACAAGGAGCAGTGGGAAAAGTGGGAAGTTACAATAGGATGATCCAATTATCTGCACTTTTCATAAAATGTTGCATTTAATGCCTTATCTGAAAATTGGACATGGACATGGATCTGGATTCTAATCCTGTTCAACCATAATGTGTACTGATTGGAATCTGGGTAGATTTGGCAACATGACTTAGTATAATCCAGGACCAGTATAATGCAGCTCTGAGCATTTTCAGACTGAAGAAAATATGCCAATGCTCCTAACAAAAATAAATATATTTGTTTGGATAAAGTTGTGCAAATATATAACATATATGTGGCTTCCTGGGAATAGTTGTTATATTTGTGAATGAATTTATAACTACAAACCAAAATGATATCCGACTGGTAACATTTGCACAGCAATACATTAGAAATTCTGAGAATTAAAAAAATAGAACATTTATATAGTAAGTCTTAGTAAGTCTTTATTTTTTACTGCCTGCACCAGCTTTTACACCCTCCTTAGCATTGGCCATTCTGGGTAGGGAATTTTGGGAACTGAAGTCCATATAACTACAAAGCGCACCAAGACTGAAAAAGACTGAGCTATTCTAAGGAGAAGTGATCAGTCACTCAGCCAGAAGGTTCAGTTCTTCCCCAGGTGAATTATCTGAAGTTTCTTTTCCCTTCTGTTGCTAAAATTCTTCTTTTTCTTCCATGAGGCATATGGTCAAGGCTAGAACATGTCAAGATTTACATTAGTTACAGATTCACTTAACAACCGTGTGACTAACTTAACAACTGCAGTGATTCACATAATAACTGTTGCAAGAAAGGTCGTAAAATGGGGCAAAACTCACTTAACAACTGTCTTGCTTAGCAACAGAATTTTTGGGCTCATTGTGGTCATAAGTTGAGGACTATCTGTAATTACCTCAAGTATACAAGAGTATATGCTGCTCCCTAGTGACATCTTCTGGCTGATTATCAGCAAAACAAATGGTTCAATCACAGTTTTCCATTTTTTAAAAAATGTGTGCCCGTGTATATACACAAATACACAGACTACACACACACATACATATATAGATGAACACACACATGATCTTCATAAAGGTCATAGTACTAGGCTAAAGTCAGATACATTCATATTTAATAATAAAGTCTTCAGTAATGATGGTACTTGTCTGAGGTCTAAATATATACTATAAATTCATGAGGTTACATCTCTAAGCCATGTACTCTATTGTCAGCTGTCACTCTGATAGTTTGTTAATGGAAATTTAATTAACACAAGCCATAAGAATGTACTAATGTTCTAGATTAAGAATTTATCATGTAGATGAAAAAGATTGCTTTGCATTTGCAATATAATCCAGACTCAGCTTTATCTTCAAATCTATAGCAATAATTTGCTGTGCTACATTGGAGTTTAATTTTAAGATCACATATTATGAAATCATTGCTAATTTGGGAAATTTGTGGCATTTCTTTGGAAAAAGTTGATTACAATCAATAGTAACAGAGTTATTCTGCATATTAACTATGAGACATATTTGCTTTTAGGAATTTAGTATGACACGGCCATGGTGAATGAAAATAGATACATATTATGTATACCTACACACACACACATACTTATGCAAAAACTATTGCACAAGAACAGTATCAAATCAAATAATGTTGCATAGGTGCAGGATGGAAACAGTTGCAAAAAATAAATAAAATTGAAAAATATATTGTCTCTAAGCTACTCCAATCCTTGGTGACCTCCAGAACTTACAGCCATAATCCTGGCACATGATTGCCTACTCTGCCCTCTGTTCAAATAATAGAACACCATCACTTTCTATGGCAACCAGGAATTATCATTAGGTGTGTTGGGTTCATGCCTTCATAAAATCTCTTTCTCACTAGCCTGTCTTCCAGAAATGTAGTTGCCACCAAAAATATGGTGCCACCTGAATAGAAATAGGATAGGCCAAGCTCTTTAAGTATAAAATGGCCAAGAGCCTGCAATGCAATTGTGGTGCATAGGAATAAACCAAAGCACATACAGTTCAAGAATGTTTCCTTGGAAAATTTCAAGGCACCTGGGATGATCTCATTGCAGCCACACCAGGAGCAGTTAGATGGTTAACTTTCTCAGATATCGAATTATTATATCTATCCTATTGCAATTCTATGGTGCCATATTATGGGGATTTTATCATGGTTTTACTTTAATTTAATATTTTATCTTGTATATTGTATTGCACGTGATACGGTGGCTCAGTAGTTAAGACACTGGGTTTGTCAGCTGGAAATCCAGCAGCCCAGGTTCGAGACCAAAGCGCCACACAATGGGGTTGAGCTCAGTAGTGGGATTCAACCAGTTTGCACCAGTTCAGCAGAACCGGTAGCTAATTTTTTGTTGCCCAAGCCCAGAATGGACTTCCAGAAGCGGCATCCACACAGAGAACCAGTTGTTCACATATTTGAATCCCACCACTGGGTGAGCTCCCATTCTCACGCCAGCTCCTGCTAATCTAGCAGTTTGAAAACATGCAAATGTAGGTAGATAAATAGATACCACTTCAGTGGTAACAGCAGTCCATGATGTCATGCTGGCCACATGACTGTGGAAATGACTTGACAGTTGTTTCTTTGCTAGGTTTCTGCATGTTTTATTTGAGGGGGAGGTTGTGGGCCTGTGTGTTTGCATCTAAGGGAAGAAATCCATTGATCAGTTTTAGTGGGGCTGTTTCTGGTTGGGTTTAATTGGACAGAAGGGGTTTGTTAGTTGTATGCTGCTTCTTTCTTTGAGTATTGTGTTTCCTTCTATGTGTGACATACCTCAACTTGTCTTCCTCCAAGGGTTTATCAGTAGGGTCAAATCCTCTGGGAGTTATTTGTTCATTAATTGGTTCGGTTTGGGTATAGATTTCTTTTATAGATTGGGGTTTGGCTAGATTTGCCTCTAAGTTCCTTACTTTTTCCTCCAGTAGTATAGCATATAGCAGGGCTTTTCAACTTTTTTACCAATTGTACCACTTTTAGGATATGGCAATATTCGATAACCACCTAGCAAGGTGTCAAAAACTTGATGACCAAAAAAAAAAAAAAACTTGTTCAAAGTTGCAATTGTACTGAAATGACTTATGACCATTTTTCACACTTATGACCATTGAAGTATGCCCAGGGTCATGTGATTTATATTTGGATGCTTGGCAACTGATTCATATTTATAATGGTCACAGTGTTATGTGATCCTCTTCTGCAATCTTTTGACAAGCAAAGTCAATGGCAGAGCTGCTGGTGGCCAAGTGCTAAGGCGGGACTTCCTCCCTCCCTTCCCTGCCTCCCTTTTTCTCATTCCCATCTCCTTCTGAAGGAGGAATTTGAACCCCCCCCCAAATTTTCCCTCTTCCATATATTGATCAAACAAGGAAAAGCCTCCAGAGACAGAAAAGACAAGCTGCTGAGTGAACTAGCTTAAAAGGGCACATTCCCCTTTAAGAATTAGCTACTGGCTAGAAAGGAAAGTAAGATGTCATCCCTCTGGGCAAGAGGAATGCAATCTGAAAACATCTGCCTTATCTTCAGACAACGGAGCCTGGAACGTTGGGAAACGAAACAGAGACTTTGAGAAGCGTCATGGAGCTCCCCCAGGCTCACTGGACAAGTGGGGGACATCAGAGAACGATTATGATGATGATCCATTGGTAAGTGGCCTGACTGACCCCATAACCATGCCCATAGAATTGATAATCCCGGGCACAGGCAGGAAAATGGCTCTAACTGCTCTGTTAGACTTGGGCTGCACACGGTGCCTGATAAGTCCCAACTTAGTTGGAAAATGAGCCTCCCCTAAGAAAACTCAAGGACCCCATCACTTTTTGCCAAATTGATGGGTCCGTAGCAGGGGGCATCCTGGTGAGTTTTGTCGTTGAACCCCTGGGACTGACCATGGGAAGCCACTCAGAACTTAATGTTCATCATGGCTCCTGGCATGGAATGGCCCCTGGTCCTTGGGCTAACTTGGTTAAAGAAATGGATCCCCCTAATTGACTGGAGAGAGGGGCGGCTAAGGTTCCCAAGGAAGAAAGCACCTCCAGAGTGGTTCCCTGGAAATAGAATGGAGGGTATGAAGCAGGAAATAGCCTCTGCACTGAGTGAGCAAGAGCTTCAGAGCATTCCAAAAGAGTACCAAGATCTAGCCAAGGTTTTCAGTGAGAAGAGGTTGGATGAACTTCCCCCACACCAACCTACGGACTGTGCTATTAAGATCATCCTGGGAGCTAAGTTGCCTAAGCCAAAGCTATATTTGAAGACCCCTAGAGAATTAGATGAGCTCTGCAGGTTCATTGACAAAAATTTAGCTTGGGGATTCATCCAGCCTGCCAGACCTCGGGTAGCAGCCCCTGTTCTATTCAGAGAGAAGGTTGGATCTCTTTGCCTCTGTGTGGATTATAGGTGCGTAAACACAGTATCTGTAGAAAATGTGTATCCCCTGCCCCTCATGAGGGATGTGTTAGCCCACCTGGTGAAAGGGAAAATATTTTCTAATCTAGACCTGTGAGAAACATATTATCACATCAGGATTAAGGAGAGAGATGAATGGAAGACTGCTTTCAATTGCCCCTTAGGTTGCTTCCAGTTCAGGTGTTCCCTTTTGGGTTACAGGGAGACCCTGCAGTGTTCATGCAACTGATCAATGAGGTTCTCCATGAACACCTGTATAAGAGGGTCCTGGTGCATTTGGATGATATCCTGATTTACACCGAAAGTAAAGCTGAGCATGTGAAATTAGTCAGGGCAGTCTTAAAGAAGCTCCGTGCTGCTAAATTGTACGCCAAGCTCTTGAAATGTGAATTCCATAAGGATAGAATTGACTATCAAGGCTACTGTATTTCTCGTGAGGGAGTGGAGATGAACCCAAATAAGGTGTGGACTGTCATGGAATGGACTCCTCCCTGCAACAGGAAGCAACTGCAGAGCTTTCTGGGGTTTACCAACTTTTACAGGCAATATATCCCCTTGTTTGCTCAGATCGCATTCCCTATCACAAATTTACTGAAAACTAAGGGAAGGAGTAAGCCAAAGCCTGGCCAGCCACTAACGTGGACATCTGAATGGCAAGCCGCATTTAGGAAACTTAAGAGACTTTTTTCTGCGGAACCAGTACTGAAACACCCAGACCCGGACAAGTCATTTATAATTCAGCACACACTAGCGATGTGGCAGGGGTGGTGTTACTACAGAAAAACCATCAGGGTGAGTTACAACCCTGTGCCTACACATCAAAAAAATTATTGAAGACTGAACAACAGTGGGTTGCTTGGGAAAAGGAAGCCTATGCAATAAGATGGGTCCTCTTAACCTGGAGATATTTCCTAGAAGGGAGTAAAATCCCTTTCCAGATTTGAATCTTGAAGCTTTGAAAAAACCCAGGAGATTGTCTCTGAAACAGGCATGCTGGGCCCAGTACTTCCATTGTTTTAATTTCTCCCTCCACTATCTGCCGGGGGGGGGGACTTCCTGGCAGATGCTTTGTCATGAATGCCACAATATAATGTAGTGATTGGGGAGTTCAAAAAAGTGTTGGAGAAGGACGAATGGTTCAGCAGCCGTACAAATCTCCGCTCATTGCAAGATGGGTTAGCTTGGGTTGGAGGAAAGCTATATATGCCTGTAAATCAGAGACTGAGAATCATGCAGGCCTGTCACAATTCAAAAATGGCAGGGCACTTTGGGTTTGTAAAGACCCTTCACCTATTTAAGAGGCAATTTTGGTGGCCTTCCTTAAAGAAGGACATTGAAAGTTATGTGGCCAGATGCCTGCTTATGCTGCTGCTAAACATAGGCAAGGGAAAACGCCTGGTCTCCTGCAGTCAGTAGTGAGCAGCACCTTGGAGAGAAATCTCCATGGATTTTATTGTGGAGCTACCCGAAAGTGCGGGAAACACTGTCATTTGGGTTGTCACCAATTTGTTTACTAAACAAGCCCATTTTATCTCGTATCAGAAGATCCCAACCGCAAAGACTTTGGCTAAGTTGTTTGTGCAGCGTATTTATCACCTTCATGGTACCTCAAAGCACATAATATCCGATAAGGGTGTTTAATTCTCTAAGTTCTGGAAAGCCTTTTTAGACCTTTTAGGTTCAGATCAGGGGCTGTCATCTAGTCATCATCCTAAAACAAGTGGGGGGACAGAATGAATGAACTCAGTTCTAGAAGAATACCTCCATTGTTTTATTAATTATCAGCCAGGATAATTAATGTTGCCATTTGCTGAGGTGGCTTACAACAATGCAGTACACTCCAACACTGGATTCACTCCTTTCCAAGTGGCTAATGGCCAGAGTTTCCTTCCTATGTCTGAATTGCTTGCCAATGAACCTGTGATTCCTTCCCTTAAGGAGTGGGTTACTCAATTGCAGAACATCTGGCCAGTAGTTAGAAAAGCCTTGGATGAGGCTAAGGCTAACAAAAAAAGAATGAAGCCTAAGTCTTTCCATGTTGGAGTGAGAGTTTATCTTTCCACTAAATTTTTACAGTCATTGCAGCAATCAAAGCTGGGTCCAAAGTTTATGGGTCTGTTTCCTGTTAAATGCATTATCAATCCTGTTACAGTGGAGCTGGAATTCCCTAAGAGTTTGAGACAAATCTACCCAGTTTTCCATTGTAGCTTATTGAAACCTAAGGTCACCTCTAAACTGCTATTACTATTACTGCTCCAGCCCCTCAACCTATTACAGCTGAGGATAAGCAACACTTTGAAATTAAAGATATTTTAGATTCTCACAAACACCATGGGTCCACTCAGTATTTAGTAGCCTGGAAAGACTTGCCTGCTTCACAGAATGAGTGAGTTTATAAAAAACATGTCAGGGCCCCTACATTGCTCAAATGCTTCCATACGTGCTATCCAGATAAACCTGATTAATATGTTTATTTTTTTTCCTTTTCCCCTTCCTGTTTTATTTTGCAGCTGGATTTGTCTTTCTATTAGGGGGACAATGTCAGAGTCTCTGAAATGTATTTGCCTTTAATCCTTCCATTTTTCCTTTTCTTGCTTTTACCTATGTATTTTTGGGGCTTGCCATACTGTTGGGGATTATTATTTGTTTTGCTCTGCTCTGTATGAGATGCCCTCTCTCTGGGCAAGAGGAATGCAACCTGAAAACATCTGCCTTATCTCCAGACAACGGAGTCTGGAACTGTTGGGAAACAAAACTGAGAGACCTTGAGAAGCCCTCTGAATCTCCAGCTTCTCATAATATGGTGGCACCTGGATTGGCTGGATTGGCTGGATTTCAGCCGGACGGTTGGACATTGGGGGGAGGAGTTTTGAATAGCCTTTCTGATGTAATCCTTTATGCACCAAATCTTTAGACCTTGCTTTGCTCTCTTGCCATCACTAACTCTCAATAAAAGTTTATTTTGAAACAATGCCTGTTTCAAGAGTTCTGCTTTCTTGGGAGATCTAGTTGAGGCAGGTCCTTACAGATATTCTGTAGCTAGTGAATAGCAAAATTTCAGACATTTGATACAGATAAGTATGTTCTTTATTGCTGAAAAAAAATACATGCACACACATACATTGCATACTGTATAATACCAAAATCAAGTTTTATAATAGGTCAGTCCCAGAGTTTAAATCCTAAGTTATTTCTTCCTGGTTTTGAGTCTTGGCAATTCTTTTCCCTGTCTTGAGCAGTGATGACATTTTGTGCAAGGTGGTACTCTCTTGGCTGGGAAACACACAGTTTCTGCCTTGCCAGTTTTATTATTCTCTAACTTCTTACAACTTCTTCTCTAACTTCTTCTTGCATCTTCCCTCTTTTCCTCCAGTCACAAGGGTGGATAGATTTGTGCCAGTCCTTCTCTTTTAATTACTTTATCTCAGAAATGAATGTAATTTTATCCTGGAAGAAGAACTTTGGCATGGAACTTACATATTGTTGCCAAGATCACTACATAGATGACACTTTACCCTACCCGTTGTGCAAGACCCAGGAGTCTGCCTTCACTTCTCTAGGCTGTTCTTTTCCAGTAACAATTGCTGTGAATTGGGGAGCAATAGAGAAATGCATGCATTCCTCCACAGTCAAAGATTCAAAGAACAATTTCAATGTAAGGTAACCTAATAAAAGGTAGTTATACTGGATTGGCAAAGAACAATTCAGCTATTTTTGGTAGAGGTCTAGATTCTGAAATTTGGAAATTGTATCTCAGAATTTTTTCTTTCTATATTTCTAATTCCACTGTATACATTCACAACCAATCTGCCCAACTGTATTTGTCTCATCCTATCTCAATGGGAAATGTATTAAATGTACTTTTTCTTTTTTCAAAAAATGTTATTAATTTTCTATTATTACATTTGATTAGTGCTTAATAAATATTTTGTTGTCTGGATTAATTTGTTTGCTTAATAATACAAGTTACATTCTTAAACTCTACCCCTTTTTTCCAACCATTGATAAAATAAATTCCATGTTTGAAAATATTCTGTATCTTCTTTCTCTTTGATCCTCAATGTAAGTCTGTCCAATTCAGCACAGTCCAATATCTTCTTCATTATCTCTTCGTATAGGGATGTTTCTTCATTCTTCCAGTGCTGAGCAAATACAATCCTCACTGCTGTTAGTACATACATTGTTAAATATACACTTTGCTTATCAGATTTTTTTGGTATTATACCTACTAATAAAAGTTCAGGTTTAAAATCCACAGGTTTTCCTAAT